ACTTGTAGATTAACTCTGAGTAATTGGAACGATATGAAAAAGGAAGTTGTCATTACACCAACCATGTGGTACGAGCCTAAGGATCACAATGAAGACTGTTACTTCTGTGCCTGTGATATAACAGGTTGTAATAAAAAAAATAAAGGAAACATATTATATTCTAACGTACAAAGCGTAACACCAGCCAAGAAAGGAAAAATAGCGAGATTAGACAAAGTACCACCTAATAAACATGAATGTTGTTTGGAAGAAATGAGTTCTGTTGAACGTGAAAAGGACAGTGATTATGAGGATTCTGTTAGTGCCAAAGACCCTAAACTTTTTGATCAAGATTCATTAGATGATCTTATTCGCGATCTTAGTCTTTCTAAAGATTCAGCTGAAATATTGGCTTCCAGACTTAAAAAGAGGAACATGTTGTTACCCGGAACAAAAATTACAGCGTACAGAAGAAGAGATGAGGAATTTCTGAAATATTTTTCTAGTGAAAATTCCTTAGTTTATTGTAATGATATAGAAGGACTTATCAATACATATCAAGTAGATGTGTATAAGTCCGATGACTGGCTTCTCTTTATAGATTCTTCTAAAGAACGCCTTAAAGCAGTGTTGCTCCATAACGACAATAAATACGCAGCAATCCCTATTGGTCATTCCACCAGGCGAAAAGAATCATACGAATACCTTCATTTGTACTCGAAAAAATCAATTACAACATCCACAACTGGTTTATATGTGGTGACTACTTTAAAATGATCAATATTTTGATGAAAAAAGTGGCCTGAAAGATTTGATTGGAAAGTTGGTTCCAAAAATGTTGTTTACAAGAGTTTTGTTGACACAAAGCGTATTTTGTTACCTCCACTCCATATCAAATTAGGCTTGATGAAACAATTCGTATAAGCCTTAAATACTGATGGAAACTGTTTTAAATACCTTAAGTCTGCATTTCAAAATTTAAGTAATGCTAAAGTTAAGGAAGGTATTTTCGTGGGGCCTGATATAAGAAACTTAATGAAAGATGACGATTTTATAAGAACAATAACAGATAACGCAAAAAATGCTTGGTTAAGTTAAGAAGTTGTACAAAATTTCTTGGGCAACCATCGCGACCCACAATATAAGAACATTGTATCGACAATAGTAGTATAGAAACGCCGATTCCAGACCGGAAATTGCTCCTCCACTCCTACGTGACGTCATCAGCCCAATGTAAAAGGATAGGGAAGGGTACCAACCTATGGCGGAGGAGAAAAAAAATAGGTTGGTATTGGAAAAGTAACTAGATCTGGTGACTTTTAAGAAAAAGTAACGCGCCACCTAGTGGTTGGTAGTGGAACTAAACCACTACCGACAAGATAGACTGCTACTTTTTTAAAAAGTCACCAGATCTAGCTACCAACCTATTTTGCCCCCAAGCCTTTGGTTGACACCCCTCCCCCCTATCCTTTTACATCGGGCGAATGACGTCATGGAGGAGCAACAACTTCCTGTCTACAACCGGCATTTCTGAAAGATGGCGCAACTCTTGAATACGCGTGCGCAGGGTGTTACCGATCAAGAAGGTTACAAGATCAATGTATCGTGTATAATAATAATAATAAAGGATGTTGGTAAACCGAAGCCCGCTCATATTACTTGAATTTGTAAAAAAGGTACCATAACATTAAGGTTTTTATTATTTTTTTTTTACTATTTATTATGTAATGTTTATTATTATTATAAAAATGTTTATTAATAGTTTTATTGGGTTGATTGGGGGGAAATTAAATTGTGTTATTATTATTTTCCGGAATATTCCCAAGTTCCTGCACACGCGCATTCAAGAGTTGTGTGGCACGTCTTTATGCGTTCAACGCGCCATCTTTCAGAAACGCCGGTTCTAGACAGGAAGTTGTTGCTCCTCCGTGACGTCATCCGTCCGATGTAAAAGGATAGGGGGGAGGGGTGTAAACTAAAGGCTTGGGGGAAAAATAGGTTGGTAGCTAGATCTGGTGACTTTTTATAAAAGTAGCAGTCTACCTTGTCGGTAGTGGTTTAGTTCCACTACCAACCACCAGGTGGCGCGGTACATTTTTTTAAAAGTCACCAGATCTAGTTACTTTTCCAATACCAACCTATTCTTTTTCTCCTCCGCCTTAGGTTGGTACCCTTCCCTATCCTTTTACATTGGGCTGATGACGTCACGGAGGAGCGGAGGAGCAATTTCCGGTCTAGAATCGGCGTTTCTATACTACTGACAATGTTATTGAAATTTAAAAAATTAGGCTGTTTAATGAGTTTGAAGCTACATTTCCTATTTTCCCATTTAAATTACTTTCAGGAAAATGTAGGAGCCTTCAGCGAAGAAATAGGTGAACGATTCCATCAGGATTTGAAAGAAAAAGAGCGACACTATCAAGGTAGATGGGATGAAAGAATGATGGCTGACTACTGCTGGTCTTTGAAAAAAAACGATAACGCTGCTCAATATAAGCGTAAGAGTGTTAAGTGATCGTTTGAATTGATGCGCGATCGTTATCATAAGAAACTAAAATAACATCTAAACTGTTATAAATAGAAAAGAAGTTTTAAAAATACAAAATTAAATACAATAAAAAACAAATTAATTTAAAAATATTCGAGAATAAGTGAAAGTTATGAAGTTTCATTGTTATAAAGTATATCAAAAAATATATATACCAAGTACCTATATACCAAGTATATGAGACAAAGTATTGTAATCGTGCAAAGGTTCGACCTCGACATTTTGATGGATATACACGTTTTGAGGTGCCCTGAGTCCTGATATTGACCATTCCCAGAAAATGCCTGTGCGTATTTATGTACGTACATACGTATGTAATAATGTGTGTAAACACGATAATTTAAAAACGCAATCAGTTACCGTAATGAAATTTAGTATATAGCTATTAAACCAAAATCGAAAGCTCTTAAACAACTTTTGGACCAAATCCACTAACCGGAAATGGCACTTTACCTGAAGACATTCAAATGTTTCATATAAACTTACACTTTTGATATGTATAGCCCAACATATACTTCCGTATACATATAATAAATGATAAAAAATTACCATATATTGAATTTTAGCGAAATCGCTTGACCGCAAGTGTCACTTTACACCAAAACTTACAAAACTTGTAAGTAAAACTGGAAAATAAAAAGAGGTTATTTCAAACATGATGAATTTCTTTGTTTTAGGGGACAATTTCTCAGAGATCAAGAAAAATATTTAAATGAATAATATAAGATTTTAAGGGGGCACAGAAATAGTTTTAAATGGCATAAGGACTTCTGTGGAGAAAAATTATCTTTTGATGTAAATTCAGCCTTGAATGTGCTGAAAAATCGTGTTTTTTGCATATTTTAGGTAAGATATCTTGAAAATCTTAGGTGATGAAGCAGTTCGGATTCAGGGTATCGAAAATTATTTGGAAGGTATAGTCTAGTCTTTGGTTTAAAAATTTGTCTGCCTGTGTAATTAATTTAATTCAACAAAAACAATTATTACCTGTGAAAATAAACATTTCCCAAATGTAAAATTGAAGCCAAAATTTTCACAATCCCATCCCTTTCTTTTTCTTGTACCCTAAGCACCTCCATAGCTCTTACTAAACCATTCCAATCGGTTCCAGAACCACCCAAATTTCCACCCCCCACATTCCCCAATCCGCCTTGATTCAAATAAAAATATTTTTCAGCCTCTACTAATCCATACTTTTGCCTTTCTTCGACACTTAAACCATCTAATAACTCATAAAATACATGATAATTCCGTTCGTTGGGGGCTTGAGTGACAATTCTTGATTTTTCTAATAAATATTGAGTCAATTTCGCACCGTAAATTGATGAATTTTTGAAATAGATTTCTAAATATTTTCCAAATCGCGATGAGTTATCGTTTTGGGTCGTTTGAGCGTTACCGAAAGCTTCCAAGAGAGGAGTGGCTTCTAAAATTTGTTCGGTAATCAAACTATATCCGAAATTATCGTTTGAGTTTTCGTTAAAACTCTTTTTTAACGGCGATACTGCGGCTAAATATTGCAACACTAATTTCGAATTTTCCGTTTTTCCACTTCCACTTTCACCGTTAATGACAACCACTTGCGGTTTCGGTAAAGAATTATAAACGGCAGAACTTAATGCGAAAAGATGCGGTGGAAGATCGCCGAGTAATTTTCCGGAGTATTTTTGAACGGATTCGACGTTGTAAAAGGACGAGTCGAAGGTTTTGTATGGATTTAAAGCAATCAAAATGGAACCTACGTAAGTATAAATTAAATTTCGATCATAACGAATTTTTAAGTTCCATAATAAAGCTGCTTCGTGAAGATCGGCAAGTTGTGTCATATCTTCCATACCGTTTAAACCGAGATCTTGACGTTTTTGTATAGTTTGATCCGTATTGGTTAAAGCGAATGTTTGTGGCTTAAAAAAAATATAATTAAGTGTAATAAAATAATTAAAATGATAACTTACTTTATTATTTATAACAGCTTGAACGGTTAAGATTTGGGCCGTTTTGTGATTTTCTAAAACTTCCCCTGGAAGCCAATTTCCCACTCCTGGATCAAACCAGATTAAATCACCTGGATTCCAGTCCATTTTCAAATTAATCTTTTTTTCGGGTTACAAATTCGTTCAAAAAGTTTTCATCTAAATCAGAAAAAGCACATCTTTTCGAATAAACAACTTTCTCTATTCAATCTACAACGTTATTACGTAAATAAATTTAATTTTAAGGAATTTTGAGTTATCTAACAATTTGTAAAGGATTAAAGAAATGTGTTATTGTATCCGTACAGGAAACAACAATACTAACAACTAAACAAAAAACTTTCTAACCACTTCTTTCGAGTAGGTAATGTTCAGAAGGTCGCAATGTGTTAATCGACACATTCTTTAAATAATATGCATAACTACACGTATCCATTCAGATTTCTGTTTAGAAATTAAATTTAATATTTACGGATTTGAGAAAATTAATTCAAAAAATTATTATGTATTGTGGAAGTAAAACTAATAACGATTAAATACGAGTATTTGACAAGAAAAGACTCATTTTTTTATCATTTATTTGACCTCGCTAAAGCTTACGCAAATGTAAACACACCTCTTCAAAGGAATCTTCTTATATTAGTATTCACAGTTTCAAATACATTGATTATAAATTCTATAAAAACATTAAAGTCCTGATTATTTACGGATCATTAAACCAGAGTGAATTTAACCCTGGCGTTTTATAATTTTCTTCTATTAAATACTTGTGCAGTTCTGCGTGAGGAATAATCGTATACTAATAATTTCTTTGTGTGCAACCTGTATTTGAAAAAATCTTGTAGAGTGTAGCATGCTGTGCTACACTATACAAGATTAAAGTCTGTGTAAACCACAAATTGATGTCCATGCAAAAAATTTGATACTAGTGTAAATTGCTAACAATTTGCTATCAAAACTTGAATAATTTATTTCGCTTGGAAAGAATTTTTGAGAAAAAAAAAGCTAAAGGTTGTGTTTTATTGTCTATAGTCTGTGATAAAACTGCTCCCATGCCTTTACTTGAGGTGTCTGTCGTCAGTGAAAGAGTAGCTTGTGGTGATGGGTGTGCAAGAGTGATTTTGATAAAAGTTCTTTGGCTGTAGTGAAAGAACTGTCGTGATGATGTGTCCAGGAAGTGATTGATTTAAATTTTTTTGAATAAAGTGTTATTGATAAATGATGTAAAAGAGGACCCGACGGTATATTTCTTGTTCTTCTTCAATGGAGTCTAGAGGATATGAAAATACACTTGATGAGAGTTTTTAAGGCCTGCTTAGCCTTTAACTACGTTCCCATCAGCTGGAGAAAGGTTACAGTAACCTTTATACCAAAGAATGGAAAAAAGGACCCAACGGATCCTAAAGCCTTTCGACCACTTAGTCTCTCATCATTTCTTTTAAAGACGCTTGAAAGACTATGTGAACATTACATTAGAGAGAATGTACTTAAAGCGTTTCCTTTGCATTTCAACCAACGTGCATATATCAAAGGTAAATCTATGGATAGCGCCCTACACATGGTAGTGGGGCGCATCGAACAAGCATTTGATTCGAAAGAGTCCATTCTGGGAACTTTCCTTGACATAGAGGGAGCGTTTGACAAAACCACCTTTAGTAGCATTAACCTGGCACTGGAATCTCGAAGAGTGCCATCGGTCATCGCGGGCTGGATTAAAACTATGCTAGCAAGCAGAGTTGTTCAGACTAAGGCGAAAGGACACACAGTACAGAGAGCTGTGGTTAAGGGTTGCCCACAAGGTGGGGTACTCTCACCGCTTCTCTGGTGCTTAATAGTTGATGATCTCATTCGTGAGTTAAATAATAAATATCTCTTCACAGTTGGTTACGCAGACGACGTGGCTATTTTGTTAAGAGGGACAATTTTCTTTGTTACAGAATGCAGCAGGCACTTAAACTCGTTGAACGATGGTGTGAAGAAGATACCCTCTCTGTCAATCCTAAAAAGACAGAGACTGTTCTCTTCACTAAACAGAAGAAACTGGGACACTTAACGCCACCCAATTTCTGCAATAATCCATTAACCTTTGCTCCAGAGGTGAAATATCTGGGTGTTATCTTGGACAAAGGACTAACTTGGACATCACACATTAGTTGCAAAATCAAAAAAGCAACGATTGTACTGACCCAGTGCCGAAGGGCTATTGGGAATACTTGGGGATTAAATCCGAAAGTTACAATGTGGATCTACACTTCTGTGATAAGACCCATGGTAGCTCACGGAGCCATAGTCTGGTGCTCAGCACTAAAACATGCATATAAAGCTACATTGCTGCATCAATTGCAACGACTGGCCTGCCTGCTAATCACAGGCGCTATGAGATCTACACCTACGATTGCAATGGAGACTATGTTAAACGTGCTGCCCCTAGATATTTTTATCAGGGAGGTGGCCGTGATGGCATTGCTTCGGTTGCGATCAGTAAATGAAAAGCAGGTTGTTAAAATGGGAATAGTCCGGAGCAAGCTCTGGAGTGAGGCTGTTAGTAAACAACCCCTCCTTAAAGCTCGCACAGACTACATTACACCTACTTTCTTAGGCAAGCCACACTTTGGCATTGAAACGATACCCCAGAGCAACTCAAGCTCGGGCAAAACGCTGACCATCTACACTGATGGATCAAAGAAGGCTGGAGGTTCCGGAGCGGGAATCTTCTCGCACGATCTCCAGCTGCACCTTTCCACTTCGTTAGGATCGTATTGCACGACTGCTCAAGCCGAATTAATTGCTATAAACATAGCAGCCGATGCGATTATCGACTCCAAAAAAGTCGGCAGAAACGTTGTAATCTGTACTGATAGCAGACAGGCTATGCTGGCGGTTGGCAGGCATCATACTGCATCATCGTTGGTGAAGTCCTGTCGGCAATCACTCGAAGAGGCAAACGTATACAACAACGTCACGATAAAATGGCGAAAAGGACACATCGGAATTAAAGGACATGATCATGCGGACAGGTTGGCGAAACGGGCGGCTAACAAGTCACCGATCTCCCCTGAACCGTTTGTACCACTAGCTGTTAATACAGCATCAAAACTGATAAACTCCATCTCCCACCGAGCTTTTTGCGATAGATGGGATGGGACGGCAGTAGGTGCCTTTGCTAAGAAAACTCTGCTCTACCCTGACCGGAAGACATCTACTCAGTTTCTGGGAAAATCGAAAAGTGACTTGAGGCTTCTCACCCACTTCCTGACCGGACACTGCAGGTTACGTAAGCACATGTTTTACATGAAGCTGGCGAATACACCCCTCTGTAGAGGGTGTGAAATGGAAGACGAGACGGTAAGTCATACTGTTTGTGACTGTCCAAACCTCGTGTAAGTACAGGGAATCTATTTTCGGAGTACCATGGCTCCAAATTTCGGATATAAGGAACATACCTTTCTGTTCTATATTAACGTTCATGAAAAGATTGGGCTGGTTTTCTGACCCTTGAATGAACAGTAAACTGTGGGGACATACAAAGGGTCCGCTGGGGCCTAAGTGCTGTGAGTAACTCACCCCCACGTGAAACTACATACACACATGATGTAAAAGAGCTAAAATGTTTGAGATGTTTGGTAAAAATCTGTAATAAAAATTTATCATTCCTAAGAATCGCTGTAATTGTTTAAGTGTGGTTGGTTTTGAAAATTCAGTTATGGCATTAACCTTAGATTGTGAAGTTTAGTTTCAGTTAAAACTCCAAAAACACATTTTATTAGTTGAATATTGATATTGCAAGAGGTTAACCTCTCAAACAATTGTAGTAAACGAAGATAATGTTTTTTTCATTGTGACTGGCTACTAGAATATCATCTAGATATACAGAAAGGAAATCTAACTCAGAAAGAACTTCGTTTATAAACCTTTGTGAATTCGACCAAACGGTGTAGTGATAGCCGTTTGACGAATATCGTCTTTTTCTACAGGAATTTGATGATACGCTCTTGCCAGAATTAATTTTGAAAAAATTTTGCAATTATTTACATGTAGATTAAAATCCTGTATGTGCAGAAGAGGATAAAGATATGGTATAGTGATGTTGAGTTGTCGATAGTCTCCAATCGTTGGAATCTTTCTTAGGAACCATGTGAAGAGGCAACACTGTAGAAGAAGAAGAGGGTGAGCAGATTCCTAATGCCACCATCTGTTCGAATTCTTTTTTTGCGATGTTGTGCACGTCTAAACGTCGAGGACGACAAAACCGGTAAGTGTAAGTTGGTAACGATTCTGTGTTTAGTGTTATGTTCAATTGGTTTTGTAAACGCCTTTTGGCTTCAAAAAAAAAGTTGGTTTTTAACACTATTCAAAAAAATCAGCCCAAAAAGTTGCAGAAAACACTTCCAGCTAAACATAATGTAAATGTGTCCACATCTATGGGTGACTCAAAGGCACAATCAAATAAAGAGTCAGTTCTAGTTGAAGAATTTCGACCAATAGAGATACCTACACAATTATGATCAATATCTAATTTTTGTAAGAACACCGCATTTTCTATTTGCACACTTCATATATAGGAGAAAGTTAATGTAAGTACCAGCACTTAGATTATCTCAATAACACACTTAAGCTCGGTTTTACAAACGTTTATCAAATGATTGAGGTTCGACAATGTCAATTGAAAAAAATTACACTTATAAATAAAGAATTTTATTTTACAGCATATTTATTTCACAAATACAACACAGCTCACGTTCCTTTTAAACAAACCTCATTTATAATACAAAAGCGCACAACTTTAAATTCATCCAACACTTTAAATTCAACTGTACCTATATGTAAACGTCCGTATAACTGTAAAACCCGTTTCAATTCACCAACAAATCGTTTAAATTCTTTGCATTAATAAGAATTTTGTTAGCATCTTAACACAAAAAAGAAATTTTTCATACGATTGCAAACCTATTGACCTAAAAAAATTAGAGGAGGGAAGACAAAAAAAGTGTTACTCGTTTCAACCAACGTTAAAATCACTTTAAAATCTATTAATTTTATTCAAGTTATAAACAAAAACTAACTCAATATTATGTTAAATCAACTTAAAATTCCTTAAAACCAAATAATATGTAATATAATTTATTTTAACTTACCATAACAAAGTTAACACTTGTGTTTAAATATTAAAATAACCATTTAAAACTGCGGTAATGATGTCCAAGTGTTCGAAACGAATCGTTACGAAGTAAACAGCACAATCTAACTTAACTTAAGAACCTTTTAAAGACGTTTTGAATGGTGTACACGACGATCAACAAGTGTTTCAGTCTCCGATGACAGCAAATGTCGAGTCGCGATGGGTTGGGTTATTTTTTTTTTAGGTTGGTACCGTTTAATGTAAAATGACACGTCAAATGAAACAAAAAGATTTCTAGAAAGGATTATGTTCTGATATTTTAATGTGTTAATATTTATAGTTTTGAAATAAATATTGGTTAATATATAATAAAATTAGTGAATGAACTGGATTTTGATTAAAATATGAATAAATACGTGCTGACATCTATAAACTAGCGGAAAAATTTGTGTGTGCACGTTTCAAAGCGTTTAGTTGATTTAGTTGACTTAACTTATAATGCCCAATTTGGTACAACTTTTCGACCTCAATATATTCCTGTTTTGTGTGCACGTAGGTTATCTTGAGGAAGTATATTGCTGTTTTATAGTATTTTAATCCTCCCGTACACGCAATTGCGTCGTCGAGCAAAAGATGGCGCTGTTTGAAAACTTATGATTTATTATCCGAATTTTATTATTTACTTTTTTGTATTAAATCTATATAACTTAACCCATTTACATTATAGGCACATATATTTGCGGAACAACTAAATTAGGCTTTAAGTCTTCAAATAAAAGATTGATAAAAATAATATGAAGTTAGCTTCAAATCCAACATGTATGTAAATTAAATAAATAAAATACGTTGGTTTAGTTTTAATAAAAATGAGTATTTGTTATTATTTATGAATTAATTTTAAGTTAAAATATTACTAAAAGAAAAACTAATTTATTGTAATTAAATCGCATTATAATTATGAACGTAGCCCTCATTTTCAGAATTCCGCGATGTCAAAAATCAACCATGTCAAAAAGTCAAATTTGTTTAATTTGTTGTAAGCTTTAACGTAAAACGAGATTTCAAACCTAATAAACCGCAATTAAACCTTTAAAATCGTTGTATTAAAATTCTGGAACTTTATTTTTGTACATTATTTGTAAGTATTCTCAAATTTCACATTGATGTTTGATTTCATCTAATGATAAAAAACATTTTGTTTAGGTTACTCATACAATCCAACATGTGTACTGAACAGAGTGCATATATTCAAGATTCACGTGGGGTTAAGCTGGATTTAAGATCAAATGAAGTAAGTGTACAAATATAGTGTTGATAAATATTAATCTATTTTGTTGTATTCTTTTGTAAGGAATTTACCATTGGTAGAGCTCTAAACCGTTCCTTAACAATTGAAGATTTAAGAATTAGCCGTACCCATTGTCGTTTTAAAGAAGTAAATGGAGTTTGGAATGTTGTTAATGAGGTATGATTTTTATCATTTTGAGGTTATGTCATTTTTTTTACACTCTTATTATTAAATAATTGCTATTTTTGTTTAGAGCGTAAATGGAACAATTGTTAATGGTAATCGCATTCCATCAAAACAATTTCATGTTTTGTCGAATGGTGATATATTAAAACTTACCGAAGATATCTTTTTTACTTTTTTTGCAAGTACACCTAACGTTATGGGAATATGTGATATAGTTGATAAGATTGAAACAGAGCACCATTATAATACCAGATCAAATACTACTTCAAACACACAGTTAATTGAAAATGTTACAAATGGTCAAGAAAAAGTCGGTTATGAGAAAGATAAAGAAGGTGCTGGAGAGGCGTCTGATGTTGCAGGGAAAGTGGTTGAACCAGTATCTGAAAAAGTTGAAACAGAACTACAATGTAGCATTTGTACTGAGTTATTTGTGAAAGCACAAACATTGAATTGTTCTCATACTTTTTGTAACAGTTGTATACAGGCTTGGAAAAGAAAAAACTACATCTGCCCAATTTGTAGGGCGAAAATAAAAACTATAACTCCAACTATTGTGCTTGATAATTTAGTTAATACAGTAAGTAGTTTTTTATGTGTATTTATAAATATAAATGGGATGAAATTCTCCATATTTCTCTAATATAATAAAATATGATGTAGATAAAAGTAAAAACTTTTTGAGAAATACTAAAATGTTTAATTCAATTCTAGCAGACTTGTTTTGAAACTAATGTTTCATCTTCAGTACTTAGAATATTATACAATATAATGGAAAAATATTATGTTAGTAGGTGGGGTTCAGGAATAGATCTAAATCTCTTTCAACTTAATTTACAAACGAAAATTAAATTTAACAAAATTAAAAAACTTCAATAATATAGTTAAAATCTTGGAAGGTAACATTATATGGTATAATATTCTAAGTATTGAAGATGAAACATTAGTTTCGAAACATGTCTGCTTGAATTGAATTAAACATTTTAATATTTCTCAAAAAGTTTTTACTTTTACCTACATCATATTTTATTTATAAGTACTTATTCCTTGTTTTTCATAGGTTATTGAAGCATCATCTGAGGAAATTAAAAAGAATCGTCAACTCCTTCTTCAAGAGCGCGAGAAATTGCCCATAAAACGTTTAAAAAACGATAGTAAATTTAAACGAACTAGAAGGTCAGTTCGTTCACTCGCCAGTCGTGGTACTTCTGGAAGTACTAATTCAGCTGGAGTTACACGTAACCTAAGAGCGTCTACAAGAGGGTCAACAGCTGCTGAATCTGCACCACCAGAGGCAATTTGGATTAGTTCTTCTGACTCTGATTCTGAGTCAGATGAATACAGTACTTTTGATTTTGATCTGGATACCGATTCAGAGACTATGGACACATTGTTGTCAAATTTAGACGATATTATGAACGACGATGCAAATGGGAGTATGTTTTCGGCTTTTTATTCAGATGGGCATAGTGAATATGTACCAGGCAACCCAGAAGTTTATTATGGTGGTTATGGTTCATGTTTCAGGTGTGGCGCGAGAGGCCATTGGGCCAATGGGTGTCCATTAAGATGAAAAATTTTTGAATTGTAATTTAATTTGTAATTTGTTACCTACTTTTTCTAATTTTCAAACTTTTGTTTCTATTCTATTCAAATTCGTAGATTAAAGTTTCTTTTCAAAGTGGTGTGATTTTTATATCCATTATAGTTCAAGTAAGGGTAAATTCATTTAAAATTGTAGATAAGAAAAATTGTAGAATTATAGATATTAGTTGTCGCAAAAGTCTTAATTTACTAAATATAGAATTTATTAATAATTAGTCTCAAGGAGGAAATTCAATTACTTTTCTCAGAGTTAAGAGACATAAAGTTTAAAGTAGAATAAAAGTATCACGTTGTAACTTTGATCAATCCAACTGTAAGCACACTCAAGTAAATGTCATCTCTGAAAAGCTTTCCTTGATATAAATATTAAATAAAAGGATTTAAGTGTCTCCTTTCTGAGATATCCTGGTCACGTTATCGTCGATGCCAAAGTAAAAGGTTATTATCGATCCGGCTGAAAGCCTTAGTTAAAGTATATATTTTTTAAGAAATAGGAATCGTATGTACAGGAATATATTAATAAAATTTTCTTACAAATTTTCTTTTGTAATATCAAATATACCATGAAGGAATGTGGATTAAGGTTCGTTTTCTTTAGAAATGTCCAATAACCACTATTATTGTTTTATTTCATTCAATTACATCTGGTTAACAAGTGAAAAATATCAATTACCAAAAAAATAAACTCTTTAAATAGGAACTTAGCTTAAAAATAAAATGTTTTAATTGATTTATTGCTACAAATACATTGTTAGATGTTTTGGCACTTTACCTACATATTTAACGATTTATAAGGTACTTTATCTTTAATTTTAAAGCTTAACTTATATAACATTTTTTATTAATACTGGATGAAATAGGGAAACAGATGATTTATTATTTTAGTGAATATTTTAATATCTGTTTCACCATTTCATCTCGTTTAGTTATTAATAATTTTTATAGTAAGTACACATTTTTCTAATTTATTTAAATAGAGGGGTTTTTCTGAAATTCTCCGTTAATAATAGCAATAATTAATTTTTTACTTCACTTTTATTTATTATTTTTTTAAGTAACGTTTGCTCCCAATGATTTGTTCCATTTGAATAACTTGTAAGTTTTGATTAACGAATTAAAGCTTTCGATTGAAATTTGGATTTTCCAATATTTGTTTTATTATTTTATCTTACATAAAATATCTCACATTCAAGCTTTTTAATTGACAAATACCCATAAACAATAATCTAATATCAAATTATACATGTACTTGATTATTGATAGTTAAATACCGCGCAAACAAATTTTCATTTAATTTAACAACAAATTTCAATCAAAAGCCGAAATTTACATTGATATGTATTATTTTTTTAATCTCTAAAATCGACTAGAAGACACTAATTAACTTCTATTAATTGGAATCACAAGAAGTGTGTAAATTACAGCAATTTTGCCTTCTTCTAACTTGATACCAAATATTCTTATAATTCACTCTTTTTTACAATTTTTTTTAAATGTTGAATATTAAGCACTTAATTTCAAATCTAGTTTTATCATTATAATTTATTATTAAAATAAAGTCTATTTTATTTTTATCAACGAGGCAAGAAAACCCTAGAAAATGTATGTCAGTAAACGCTTAGTTTTTAAGGTTAATAAATACAATCTCCAGGTGTTTTTCAAATTTTCTAATTCCTAACATACTTTTATTTTTTGCGATTATTGCAAAATCATTCAATCCTGGGTACGGTGCTAGAATTAAGATAGCAACAATGCAATCAAGAAAGATCCAATGTATCTTTGAGCTACCTCGCACCATAACATATTAACAATAACTTGCTGCCTTTTCGGACTGAACTGTCGCCTTCAAGACAAATATTGCGCAGTTGCTGCCAACATCTAAACTAGTGATGGAACGGATAGTGATTTTGCGAAAAGCCGGATATCCGGTTATCCGGCATATCTATCCTGCCATTATGGTTATAATTTCTGGTACATTTCTGAAGTGATACCCTACATTGCCACATTATTGCGATATTTGAATAAAAATGAAATTAATAAGAAACCTGATAAGATATGTCAACTTATTTGGAACCAAGATACAAAATAAACTTTTTTGATGCTGATTTAACTAACGAAGCAACTCTAAAAAGAGGATACTTTAAGAAATAAATTTTTAGCGAATTTTGAAAGTTATCGATGAAAATTGCAACATCGAAAATTTTATCAAAACTTCAAATATTATTTTCTCAAAAACTAAAAGTTATTTTTCAAAACGTGTTAGTTCATTGGAAAGAGGACACTCTTAT